TGGCTGCCTCCTCCTCTTTGGTGCCTGCTCTTTTTTTATTTTCTTCTAATTGTTTTTGCACACTGACCTGCTGCTGCGCTGAAGAGGGATAAAAACCCCCCCTTTTCATTTGTAACAGCCAAGGCTTGAATAGCCTTCTTTTCTTCTTTCCTAATAAGCTTTGAAGTCTCATTATGTTCCCATTATATAAAAAATCCTTATTTATTTGCTTCCAGACTTTTTGGCTTCTTCTAAGTGGTTAAAACTCCTAATAAATAGAAATTTTAACCCTCCTTTAATCTGCCACATTGATAATAATTGTAGAAAACTTTGTATTCGTGAGTAGCCCAACCTTCATGTACTAAAACTGCCATAACTCTCTCTAGAAAAATGATATTCATAAACCGTAAAATTCTACTGAAAATAGACATATGTAGCTTTCCAAGCATATATGGAAAATCTCCTGGTTCTTTCCGAGTCGGTACATTTTAATCCACGAACTCGACTGATCTGCAGAGGCTGCATTGACGACATGGAATTGCAAACCTTTTTTAGTCTCAGTACTTTCTTTTTAGCTCATTTTCCACTCTTTGCTTGTTACAATTTACAAAACATAAATAGAATGTAAAGCCTATATAAAAGAGTAAAATAAAAGTTTAAACAAGGAGAATTATTAGGTATATAATAGCGAATTTACGAGCATAACAATTCACTTGACCTAAATAGACACAATATTTGTTTAAAGTAGACACATGATAAAAAGTGCAGCAACCACACTGAACATGATCTTTAAACGGACCACATCATAATTGCAGCAACCACATGATAAAAATTGTTATCACTGTGCCCTTTTGGAAACTAAAATCTCCTTCCTTTCTATATAGGAAGCAGTTTAATATAAACATGCATATAATGTAACAGCCAGGCATGAAATTTGTATCATAGAATTTACATAATTGACACCAACACTGCCAATTCTATCTTAATCATAATCATCATCATCATCATCAATAATTCCCAAAACTCTTGTATTGTTTTGTGTACTATATACAGCCTACAACACATCATCTAGCCCCTGATTAATCTTTCTTCAAGAATAGGGCTAGCCTTCTAGGCCCAACATAAATGCAACATCTTCTGTTGCCAATGTTTAAAGTTGTACGTAGCTTTATGAGAATTTCTCATATTTTCTGGTTGTTCCATAATTAAATAAACTTATGGCTTTAGATTGTTGAAGCAATGTTAGAAAATATAAAAATAACAATAAAATAAATTCTAATAATATATATTAAGAATAACCATAAAAATCACAAATCAAACATAAATATTCAAAGTAAGCAAACAGAGAAAGTAAGAAATACTGACAACTTTGGAGATTGAGACTTGCATAAATGTAATGTCCTAAAAACAGAATTTTGCCTTACTCTTGTGCTTATACTTCGGTAGGCGTCCGTCTTCCTAGAATTCAACAATCTATAATCCGAAATCGAAGCACCTCATTCTTCGAACTCTGGTGAACTTCATAGATTCCATATTCTCAAGACACGACTCGGAATTTTGTTCTTCTTGTATCTCACAGTTGTACTAACTACTTGAGTTTATATAACACTTTAGACACTGATTGACAAAGAGATGCAAACATACATCTCTTAGACAACACCATTTACTAGGGGATATATGCACTGATCCCTCTAAGAATAATCCTCTTCAATTTGAAAAGGTGCATGCCTCTTTGTATACGATGGCACACCATTTGAATAACAGACACCCTTTGATACAAAGGGTTAAGAACTTTTCATTCAAATTTGCATGCATGTACGTGCAGGAGTGTTGCAGTTGGAAGAGGGAGAAAGTCAATTTGCGAGTGGGGCCGAAGGGTGGAAATCTGTCATCACTAAGACCGAGGGACCTGATCTGCCGGCAAGGCCTACTACAAATGTGGTGAAAGTTGCACCTGCGTCGTGTATGCTAGCCATTCCCATATATATATAACCGGACTTTGTTGTGGTTATACTGATATTGATTACATTCTAATTATTCCCCTTTTTCTTTTTCTTTTTTTTACGACAGCGGCGGAGATGGGACTAAAGCCTACTGCGAATGCGGTGAGGGCTGGAGTTGTGTCGTCACCAAAATTGAAGGCCCAGATGCCGGAAAGGCCTTCGTTGTATGTGCTGATGGTTGCACCTGTGTGACTAAAGCCTAAAACTATGGCTTATATTTCTAGTTCAAGGGGATTTGTGGCTCATAAAGCGTTCTGTGTGATTTGGAATAACGGAAGCGAATTGTTCGATTATATCTCACCCTGTTACATATCAGCTATTCGATTATCATTTTTTTTCATGTTTCTGTCATGGTCTGATTACAAATAAATGATTACATACCGTATTCTAGAGGTTGCTGTCTTTTATAAAAACATGTAAAGTGAGGGTATGTTTTTAAAACATCTAATTGTAAAGTGATGATGTGTTTTCAAAACATTCAAATACAATGAAGAGGAACAAATCGGGCTGTTTTTGTAGTTATCAGGAGCACAAATTACTTGATATATTATTTTACGTACTATAATGAAGTAGATGATAAAGATGATATGTTTCAATTCTAGGGTACATTAATAAAAAAATTTAATGTATTATAATTTAAGTTGAATAATAATGCTTCGTGATTGCGTTATAAGCACACAAAAAAAAATTACTCTTTTCAAAAGCTCAAAAAGACTATTTATTTCACGCACAACATAGCATGCATGTGGCTTGGACTGGCTTTGGTAGGCTCGTACCGGCTCGATCAGCTTCAGTCAGCTCGTTGACCGCACGTTGACTGTGACCATCGACCAGTCAACCAAAAGCATAAATATTTACATGTTCAGCATTTTCGGTTCGATTATTCCATGATTATTCTCTTGAAACCAATGTTAAAAAATGGGTCATTTAGTATTTTGCTAGGAATTTTGATAATACTAGAATCAATAAAAAAAAAATAATACTATTTTTTTTTTTTGAGAAAAAGAAAAGGAAAAGGGTGTGTTTATAAGAAGGTCATTATGGTCAAAATCACATGGAAAAGTTAGTATATTAGGCCATCTCCAACCGAATGGTCCAAAGGGCCAAAAATAGTACGAAAACAGTCTCCAACCCAATGCCAAGCTAGAGGGCTCGTGGGCCCCACAGAATCTGAAAGGACCAAAGGGTTGGCCACATGCAGCCAACTAGCCTTGGGCTAGCTGGAATTTTTTTACTGGTGTCGGTTTTGCTATCGGTTGTAACTGACAACAATGCTTCTAATAGTGTCAGTTCTATTCGACAGAAATTTAAAAACAAAAATTTGAATCCAACGGCTAGCTGGCACCAGTTACCGTTGGATTCAAAAAAAAATTTTCAAGTTTTTTTTTAATTCTTAAAAATTCTAATTTTTTTCCTATAAATACCAAAACCATTCATTCACCATTCCTCACAAAAATTTCACCATTTCAATTCTCATAATTTCTTACCTCTTTCAAAAATATTTCCTTCAATTATTTAAATAATTTTCAAATGGCCTCGTCTACAATAAAAGGTAGGGCTTGGACCTGAAAAGAAGATGAAGCTCTTTGCAAGCCTTATAGATGGGTGTCGGAAGATAGTGTGAGGGGGAGTTCTCAAACAAGTGAAGGTGTTTGGATTTATGTGTCCAAAAAATATTTAAAGTTCTATGAAGGCACCGCTCCACTGAATGTCCGAAACCACGAGAGTTGTTCTTCAAGATGGAAGAAACATCTTCACCCAAGTTTGAACAAATGGCATCAAGCACTGTTAACAGCCACAAGTAGATATGAAAGCGGCGCTAACTACTATGACGAAGTAAGTGTTTTCACAATTTATTTTAAATATTTAATTAGATAACATTTAATTTCATGAATTACTTTCCTTTAATTTTTGTAAATACATTTAATTATATTACATTTAATTTCATAAATTAATTTCCTTTAATTTTTGTAATTATATTTTCTAGGTACGCCAAGCGGAGGAATTGTATATGGAGGGCAGCTCGAAACCCTTTCAGTTTCACAGTTGTTGGGAAATTTGTAAAGGGTGGGTGTTATTTGAAGATCCACCTCAACATAGAGTAGGTCCTATGCTGGTGTTCGAAACTGCATCCTTAGCTGCAGATATGGATGAAGATGGATCTCCTACCGTTCAACAAACAGGGGTAGAAAATCCGTCTTCGGATGAAGGTTCCATACCTAGGGCTATGGGACGAAACAAGGCACGAAGGTTGAAGGAAAAAAGCAAGGCAAATGATTATTACGCCGCTCCACATGAAGTGGCGGCCTCATTGCGCTTAATAGCGGAGCAAACTGCCCTTGAGGCGAAAGAAAGGAACCATAGACATAAATTACGGGCTAAACAAATACAAGAAGAGATGGATGATAAGAATATGGAAAGGAACACTTCGAATTACACTCCAATGAGTAAGGCCTATTTTGATAGGAAAAAAAAAAGAAATTATGACCCGACGACAGTTGTTTACCTCTGACTATACTCCTACAATGGCGGATGATGAAGATGATGTTGATTATGGATATTAAATTTAAGTTGTTGTAGTTTTTATATTTAAGTTAATGTTGTTTTCAAATTTAATTTGTAGTTTTTAAATTTAATTTGTCCTTTTTAAATTTAAGTTGTAGTTTTTAAATATAAGTTGTAGTTTTTTAAATAAATTGTAGTTTTTAAATATAAGTTGTAGTTTTTTAATATAAGTTGTAGGTTTTAAATTTAAGTTGTTGTTGTTTTTAAAATTAAGTTGTTGTAGTTTTTAAATTTAAATAATAAATTATGTTAGGCCTTATGATCCTTTGGCCCTAGGTTGGAAATGATTTTTTGTAACAGGGCTAAAACGAGTCATATGATCCTTTGACCTTTGGTTGGAGATGAAAGTAAATATGACTATGTACTGTTTATTAAAATATTAATTTCTTGGAAGGCCGGGGCTAAAACGAGCCCTCTAACCTGTCCTCGGAGATGGTCTTAGGAACGGCAAGTTCTAGACGCTCAAATCTAAAACCGATCCCTCTCTCTTTCTCTCTCTCTCTAACGAAGCCATGAACGACCGCCGTCTCAAAACCAGATCAGACTCCGAGAAGAAGGCCAATTCTTCCCTAGAAGCGGGAAGCAGCTCAGGGTACGAGTCTCGCAAGAAAAGAAATCTAAAAGGGGGGTTCCAAATCCATTATATTACGGGTATGATTTTGCTTTTTGTTTTTAGGGTTTGAGATTTGCTGTTTTAGGTTACTGTGCTATAATTTAATTGATTTTATTCCTAATTTTTTTAATTGATTTTATTCCTGATTTTTTTTTAATTGATTTTACTGTTGCATCAGAGGAGGAGAAACAAGCCGCGATTGCAGAGTACTACGCATGTGAGCTCCTCAATGCGCCTCTGGTTCATCTAACTGTACTTGTAAATTTATCCAACATTTTATCTTGTAATTTTCAGGGGAAGAGCAATTCTCTCACTTAAAAGAAGGAAGGCAACTTGTGTTGGTGGTGCCAGGTAATTATTCTACACGCCTTTTCTGTCTTAATAATTGAGTGGTTTGATGCATTGCTTTGTCAATATCTTTGAAGAAATTTTGTTTCTATTTTTATTTATTTGTTTTTAATATTTTAAATTGGATCAATTCGGTTTGAGTTTTGAGTATAAACTTGCTTTAGTTTTAGCGTGGTTCTATAAGACAGTCTTACTTACATGGGCTCACATCTACGTATCTAGGGTTTAGGGCGGAGGAATTCTTATTTATTGTGTACATTGATGTAGGAAGTTGATTGTCATTATAACTGTTGCCCCATACGGTGATGTATACTTGAGGGCTAGCCGGTCACCAATTACCTAGAATTCCCAACAAAATTTTGTAAGGGAGCATCAATTTCAACTTTCTGTCCTAACAAATTAACGTATACAAATGTAACTGAACATGATCAACCAACCAGTAGTAACTAGTGAGTGTATGATTTGAATGAGATTGAGGATGCCAAGTAATTAAGGGCCTTTAGTTAAATGTGTGTGTGTGTGTTATGAATTTATATGGACGTCCATTAATTTTTGCAAACAAACAGATGAGGAGAGTATAGACAAGCCTGTTTTAGACTCTGTGACTGATCAGCTCAATACTACTCCGACTTCTGAGGAGAAAAGTCGTTGCACGGGCGATCACAAACAAAGAGATGATAAGGAGGAGAAGGGGCCTCTATGTCGAATTTGCCGTGAGGGTCACCACGGGCTTGAGTACTGCCCGTGGCGTGAACGTGTCCCGATGGATGCAACTGAAGTTGGCAAGGGCTTTGAAATAACTTGTCATCTTTGTGGTAGTTTGGATAACAAGTGCAAGCATAATTGGAGCCATGCTGTCGAGGTTTTCTGTCGTATTTGTAATGTGGAAGGAGACCACTCGGAGCTTGAGTGCCCAAAGCTACCAGAGAGAGCCAAAGACGAGGCAAGAGTGGAAGCCAAAAAAGCAAAGAAAAAAGCAGCCAAAGCCAGGGCAAGAGCCAGAGCCAAAGCTCTTAAAGACGGACAGTTGGGTTCCTCCACCATCACTTGTTGATAGCATGCTGTTGTGGAAAGAAGGAATGGAGACGACCGAGTGCTGCAATCCAAATGTCTAGTCTAAGGATGCCAATGCCATTAAAAAATTGAAGGTATTTTTGTTATTTTATCCTTATTTTATGGAGATTTTTTCAAGGAATGACGAAAACTATTGAATGTAGACAAACTTAGAGACCAATTCTATCGATTTCTAATCTTAGGGATCAAAGTGAGGAGTTATGCAAATCTCAAGGACTATTTTGGCTAAAGAGCTTCTTTTTTCTTTAACACAACGATATTCTAATCTAGCTGCAAAAGGTATTGTATTCACCACAAATATAATATGACCTCACCAGTCATGTGAGTAGAATCTTACGCTTTTCACTTACAAGTAACGAGAAACATAGCACCAGTTGGTAAACATTTGACAAATATTGGTATTATTGTTTGGTTCTACCGTCCAACCATTTAACAGGTCACCCGTCACCTAATTCGATTTAAGACAAAATTAAGGCATTGTTCTATGTCTAGGATTGAGTTAGAATGAGTAATCCAATCTTATATTCAAGAATTTGGAAGGAAGAAATGAAAATCAATGTCAAATTTGAAGTTCGAAGATGGAATACTAATGAAGAAAACTTGTACAGTCCTCTAAAATTAAAGGGAAAAAAAAAGTTCCTTTACTGTTTAATCTCCTCAAAATGAAAAATCGCTCGCTTTCACCATCACATATGCCTTTAGTTTTATGATTGAGTATATTACATTTTGCTCCCTCAAGTTTGTGTGCCATACATCATCTTTAAAACGTTTTAACGTCATGCACAAACTTGTGTTTTAGTTGCTATTTTATTTTTTATGTCAATGCAACAAATAGTTTTATTTATTTATTTATGTATTTTTGAATAAGGACGGCATTAGATTCCATTAAAGGCCAAAAAACTGACATTCGCTAGCTAGTACAAGGAAAGGAGGCTTCCTCCATTACAAGATCACTAATAATGGAAGGAGTTTCATCAATCCAAGTACAGTCACCTCCAGAGTGGAGGACAAAACGAGAGAGGCAATGAGCAACCAAATTAGCTTGTTGGCGAATATGGGTAGTAGAAATTTCAGTGACCAAAGACAGGAAAAACCTAGCATCTTCAAAGATAGGTCCCAACGGAGAGATATTCAAAGAAGCATCCCGCAGTCCTGTAATGGTCTAAAGTGAATCACTCTCAAGAATAAAGTTATGAAACCCCCTTTGTACCGCCAACTCGAGCCCATCCCTGACAGCCAACGCCTCAATTTTCTTCTTCCTTTTGGATGTTAAAAGAATAACTATTTATTTCTCGTCACATTGCACTTTGAAATTGAAAAAATACGTCACTTAACTACCTAAATCTCACATATAAAATTGGACTATGAGTTTTAGGACGATTTTAAGTTTTAAAAGCAAAGTGAGGCTCGAGTTTTGTTTCAAGAAGCAAATCTGTACTGTTATTAAAGAGAATACTCTTTGTGGTCCCAAGATAGTGGAATGGCCCAAACGAATAGACGCGAAATCGAGCATAAAGAGCGATTTTCTGTGGAAACAAGTTTTGACTTTGTCGGTTCCTAACAAAATCAAGCATTTTGTGTGGAGATGTCTAATTGAGTTTATCCCGTGCAACTATCTCTTCCAAAAGAAAGTAACTCAGTCTCCTTGATGTGGAAGTTGTAAGGAGAAAGCGGAGACTACTCTTCATTCGTTCTGGATGAATTTTATTTGGTGGGATGCGTGTCGGGGTTGGAAAGTTCATTCGTTCAAACAACTTTGGGGAGCTATGGTGCTGGTCTTGAAAAGGGAGGAGTTAGAATTGTTTGTAATGGTTTGCTTGGATATTTGGAATGAAAGAAATGACATGGTCTATGAAAATAAAACTCGACATTAGTGGGATATTGTTGCGCAAGCACGACAACTATTACATGAATTTCAGATGGTGAATACCACAAGTAACAACAGGCGCAATAGGGCTGCTGCTCAGGCTACTTGGAAACCACTTACGGTAGGAACGGTCAAAATCAATGCAGATGGATCGTTGCAGCGGGGTGGTAGTACTCGAGGGATTGGAGTGGTCATTCGAGATGATGCAAGACTATTAATGGTAGCGTGTTCGAAATCAACGCGTAGCTTTCTTTCGTCTAGGGCTGAAGAATTGATTGTCGCGCGGGAAGGACTTGTGTTTGCGTATGAGTTAGTTTTCGAATCATGTTTTATTTTGGAAATGAATGCCAAATTAAACGGCGGTGGAAAGCATTTTGCAGATTGAAGGAGATGGAGGAGATTAAGCAGCTAAAAGTACTAATAAGTCAATATCCTAAAAAAAGGGGCTAAATCCCCTTATTATAGTACAATAAGTCAACTATAATAAGTCAAGATTACAATCTTTTATTGGCCCCTTTTTTAAAGATTTTTCAATGTGCTTAGATTTCTTTGCGTATAATTCAATATCCTAAAGCAATGAGTTAATGGAGACCGACAAATTCAATTTGAGTGGTTCGAATTTTCTACTCATTAGGCTCCGGACAGTGAAATCCGAAGAGGACCTCTGTCCTAGTTGGACCACAACACTAATTAATGTTGGACATTTTGAAAACTACCGCGCATAACTATTGAATAAACTTATAATGCCTCTTCAACTTGCCTCTTTAGATGATATTAGCAAATATATTTGAACAAATAAGAAAGTACTAGTACTGGGCCGGAATGGGTGAATAATTTTGACTTGCCACCAATTATCTCCATTTTTTGTAAAAAAGAAAGTACTAGTACTACTAACTACTAACTACTAAGTGGCAAATTACAAACACCATTTTAACAGCGAATTAATTTAAACTGGAAAATTACCCCTATGAATGACAACCACATAAAAATGCAAAACAAGTAGAATTTTTTCAATGCGATTGATCGGAATACAGATGGTACACCACATTTCATTATGTAAGTGATAATAAATTTTATTTTCTAAGTATTCCTCAACATGTATAATGATATGTGGTAATCACTCTGTTTTCCAACACACTTTAAAATCTCTTGTAATACAAGTAAGTTAATGACTACTAATCAAACTAAGAAATACAATAATAATGATTATATTCCTAAATCAAACTAGCGTTCAAGCCAACAAAATTTACCTAAACCCTAAAGTATCAATTAATACATTGACACGCGTACTTGACTTGTCCAATACACGTGGCGCCAAAAGACCAGTTTAAAAGTGGCAACTTCTCAAAACAGCGAAATTTTGGCATCATTTCTCTCTGGTCATAGTCTTTGTCATGGCCCGTTACCCTTCTTTCTCTCTCTCCCTCTCCCTCCCTCTATCTATCTATCTGCATTTCTCCCCGCCGGTTACTTTAACGGCGGAGCTTACGACACCGTTTCAGGAGTTTCCAAATATATACATAATGAATCCTCTTTAACGGGTTTTCTCTCTCTCTTGCTGTCCCAATTTGTGTTCTAAAATATAACTCATAATTCAATTTCCTTTTCTGGGTTTTGTTTCATTCATGCCTTTTGATGATTTCTTGAGTTCAAGTTTCAATCTTGGGATTTCCCCTTTTCCAAATTCTCTGATATTTTGACTCTGAATCTTAGGATTTTATTTTCTTTAATTTTCTTGGGGGTAAAGTGTGAATTAGAAAACCCAGAAAAATTACAAAAGAGAAGGTGAGAGAAAGTTGCAAAGTTGGTGCCTTCTTTTTGGGGTTGGAGAAGAAGAAGTAGAAATGGATATAACAGAGGTGTCAATAATACACCATGTGGGGATTGTGCTATGTGGCCTGTGGTTGCTTTCCCACTACAATTGCTGCTACCCAGTTGTCTACTTTCTTTCTCTCATTTATCTTTACCTGGTAAGAATTTTACTAATTGTTTTCATTCATCTTTCTTCATTACATACATATATATATATGTATTAATGTATATATGTGTGTGTATATATACACACACACTATAGATAATGAATTAGAATCATGCACATTGTAGTGTGCTAGATTTTCCTGCTAAAAGTATGTGGAAGTTTGCTTGTTGGTGCTAACATTTGGGTCATTTACCTTTGATTCGTTTTACCAATGATGTGAAATGAATATTGCTTTTGTAAGGAAACATGATCTGTTATTTGAATAGGCAAACCGGTATGTGCTAAAAGGGATGTACTTAATTTGAACTTTTCTTGTACTTCTGAAAGGTTCATGAACGGTACCTTATCAGACTGCGGAAGAAATTACAGTTCGAGGAAAGACAACAGGCTAATCAGAGACGGGTAATTTGTTTCATTTTCCATTCTGCATTTTCAGTTGTGGTAATTGCTTTATTAGTTAAAATTATGTGTTCAACATGAAAGATGAAAAAAGAGAAACAAAATCCATCCCGATAATTGTTTTTGGTACATGTTGTCAAAATTTAAATCTTTGTTTCAGATGACACATGGACATTGCTTTTTTTCAATACTTCAGGTGCTTTCTGAATCTGAGACAGTGCGGTGGTTGAACCACACAATTGAAAAGATATGGCCTATATGTATGGAACAGATTGCTTCACAGCAAATCCTCCTTCCCATCATACCTTGGTTTTTGGAGAAGTACAAGCCATGGACAGCCGTAAGACTATAACTTCTGGTCTATTAAAATCAAATAGGATGACTGCGATTGTGCTATTGATTTGGATTGATCATTTGGTCCTAATTGCTCTGTTTTAAGACTCTTGGATTTCTTATTGTAGTTCGATTTCTAATTGAATAATCTTCAAAGTACTTCTAGTCGCAACTACTTTTCGTTTAGTTTGTCGGCATTTGTTATCATATATTTGTTCTGATTGAACGAGATAGTTGAGTGATTGACAACTCTCAAAGGATGTAATTCTTTGTTGGATCTTAACTTAGTTTTAGAGAGTGTATTTTCATTTATTAATGCTATCTAAGTGGCAAAAACTGCTTATGTTGCATCCGCATCTTAAATGAGCATTCAAATATTTTATTACAACAATGACTAGTTTTGATATTGTTCTTCATTTTCTGATTGAACGGCATTGTGAGTTAATCCTGAATCATAATGTGAATTCTTTGATGTCAAATATTTCAATGTCTTTGTAGGTATAATTTTGGTGAAACATGTCTTTTTGTCTGAATATGATAGTGTCACCTTGTTATTTGGTGGTTAAATACATTTTTTTTTTTTGAGTTATTAACAATGATCTGAATATGTCTGCAGAAGGAAGCGGTAGTTCAGCACCTTTACTTGGGAAGAA